AGAAATCATGGGGTAGAGGAAGCTACCTGGGAAGTGGAAGAGGAAATGCGAACGAAATACCCTAACCTTTTCGTGAATTAAGGTGAGAAATTTCGAGAGCGAAATTCTTTTAAGGGGGAGAGAGTGTGAGAACCCGTAATTTTCATTTTCTAGGTTTCTCGCATTTTTATGGCTTGTTTTCTGCATTTTCGTGCTTAGGAAAAATTCTATATGAATTTAAGGAGCAGATATAATTTTTAGATGTTTTTTTCTAGTATCGAATGGATTTTTAGAAATTAAGAGCGTATACCGGACGTGGGACCCACTAGTGCGAAAAGTTCGGAAAATTTCGGCCAACTAGGTTAAGTTTTGAATACTGGAATTAATTTACCGGGTGTTAAGAGATAAGTAGAGGGTGCTAAGTGGATTGGTATAAGAGAGACAAGGTAGGTAAGTATTTATTAAAAGGTGACAAGTGTCACCATAGGAGTGGTTTGACCTTTTTGAACACTATTCACCTTTTTACCAATTTGGTTAAAATAACTTAAAAATGACCCAAAAATCATCAAAAAATCCTCCATGGTGGCCGGCCCTCTCATTCTCTCATTCTCTCTCTCTTACTCTAAGCACAAGGAAGAAAACTCTTCAAGCTTGCTCCAAATCATCAAAACCAACCATCCAACCTTGATTTTGCTCCATAAAACCACTTAAGGAGGTGTTGGTGAGTTGTTGTGTGAAGTTATTTGGAAAGTTAAGGTGTCCAATAGCTCTCTCTCTCTCTTGTTTTAAGGTAAGTTGTGAAGAACCACCCTCCTCCCTTAATTGATGCTTAAATCATGCTTAGTGGTAGTATGAGATGCAAGTTTATGGGTTATTTCTTGATTTGTGGTTGAAGTGATGAAGTTTTATTATTTTTGGAGATTTTTTTCTGTTTTAATATAAGCATGATTGTGTGGCTATCTATGATGATTAGAAATGGTATATAATGACTCTAGGAGGTGGAAAAAGTGATTAATTGCAACCAATTTCTGGTTTGGAAGAAATTTCAGAAAATTAGGGTTCTTGAGGGAGCATTCTGCCCGAATTTTTAGCTCCTAGTTAGAGGCCGAATTGGCCTTGGCTTAAAACATGAAAGTTGTAGGGAATTACATTTGAGAGGTGTCTACAAAATTTCAGATCAATCGGAGTAGTGTAGAATGAGAAAAGTCGAAATTACTATTGTTGTTCTGGTTTTACCCGAATGTAAGACTTGCGCCTGTAATTGGTTGTTTTGGCTGGAATTACTTCCGAATTGGTTGTTGAGGCCTTCTGATTAAATTTAGCCCTGTTTCTTAGCTTTCAGCTGGTTTTGGAATTTCTGGATTTGGACTTGGAGAGCCTGAGTTATGAGGTTTCCGCTAGAATGCATTTTGGTGAATCTGTTTTACGTTTTTGATGTAGTATCTTGCATTTTTGACCTGTTTGCACTCAAAACTGGGTTGAGTGACCTTCTGTGATGTTGTAGCCCTGTCTTTTAGCTTCGAAATGGTGGGTCTTGTACCCTCATCTGATAATCGTAGTGAAATTGGTACCATTACCGTAAAATGAGGACAAAAACTGTTTTTTTTCAGGGCCAAAGCTGGTTACATTTCCGAAATTTCTGGTTTCCTTTAATGTTTGTATATGCTTATGGAACCCTATTGGGGTCATGTTTGGCCTTGGTTTATGACTCGTTATCGAGTCTCATTGTATTTGTTTGCATGTTTTAGGATGTGTCCGTGGTGCACAACGTTCTTTTGACGGAAGTACATGAAACCACATTTGCGAGCTTGGTGAGTGTACTACTCACTTGTGTGTTATTCTATGACTTTGATACTTGAACTTGAGATGTTGAATGTTAATTGATTGAAGTGAGAGTGTACTTTATCACTCTCACTTATTGAGGATAACAATTGTAGTCGTTGGAGACTCGTCCAAACGACACCAAGTCATGTATTTCATTTCATATAACATTTCATATAACATTCCAATAACTTTCCAATAACATGCGAAACAATAAGTGAGAGTGTACTTTATCACTCTCACTTATTGTTTCGCATGTTATTGGAAAGTTATTGGAATGTTATATGAAATGTTATATGAAATGAAATACATGACTTGGTGTCGTTTGGACGAGTCTCCAACGACTACAATTGTTATCCTTGAGCTCAACCCCATTGGTAATTGATTGAATCGAGCCGGCGAGGGTTTGGTCGTGCCAATTAATGTGCCTTGGGACAATATTATATGGAATCTTGTAGTATGAGAGACTCTCGATTCCGGTTTACTCGAGTAATACCAAAGTGCAAGTGTTTGGAGTTCGGGCCCGGTAGGGGAATGTTAGGTGGAAGGAATGGAAGTAAAGTGGAGTCTACGGTTGGTCATTTTTGAACATTGACGGAGTGTCAATGACGTCCGATCAAGAAATGCAAACGAGGAAAAGGGCTCTTGAGAGCCATCCGTATCCTTTTCACCACCACTAATGTGTTTCTTTGTTTACTTTTGGTATATTGAAATGAAAAGCTTTATGTTTACATGAACTTGGTTGCTTAAGTGATAGTATCTCACTGGGCAATTAGCTCACACCGTTCCTTTTGTTTTCCTTACAGGCATATGACTACTTTTGGAATGATTCTTGCTAGTTGGTTGCTGAATGAACTAGATGAATATCTCTTTTGTATTGTATATGAAGTGGGACTCTAAATGTATCTTTAGGGCCGTTTTCACTTTAATTTGGCAAACCAAACATGTAGTAACTGTTGGATTACTTTTGTATGCCATTGTGGCTTGTAATTGTAAAATGTCAAGTGTATATGTGTTTTAATGTTTGGTTGGGTTCTGACGGGTCGGTTACTATTCATGGCCGGTTACTATTCATGGCCGACTCCGAATTTCATTTTTTTTTATGTTGGGTTATTTTACCATTTTGACTAGTTTACGCGCGTTATAAGTTCCGGAACGCAATAGATCGCTCTAAACTGTTTCGTTAGTCCTGGCGAGAGTTGGGCAGGCAGTCCGCTAACTCCTTTGGTTCACCTTAGGGGAAGGTGGGGCTGTCACACTATTAATTCATTTTGGATCCGTTTGGATTGGATACTATTTCAAAAAAAAAATTAACTAAAACAATACTATATCACTTTTTATAATACAATGTATTTAAAAAAAATAAAAAGATTAAAAAATTATATTTAAAATAATATTATAATATTTTTTAAACATTATAATAGTTAAAAGTTGTGTGGCTAAGTAGGATATTCAAATATGAAAAAAAAAGTTAAAAAGAAAAAAAAAAGAATGATAATAGATTAGATTATAAAATTGGGGAAACTCGTCTTAAATTTTTTAATAATTCTATTTTGTCCATCAATCAATCCATACCCCACCCACTAAACCATCATCAATCAAAAAATTAAGGAGCCCCACCACTTCCATCAACCCTCCCTCCCTCTTGACCTTTTCTAACAAAAGTTAGAAATTTGACTTTTATAAATCTAGATTTCAGAAGAAACCTCAAAAGTCGGTAACTTTTATCAACTCCCGAACCGATGTGGGATGGCAACCCCGCAAGGGCACTTCTATCAACCCAAATCCCACAAACTTTCCAATCCCATGCGCCGCTCACGTGACTCAACTAAACTGAGTTAGACTTTTAAAACCCCCAAAAAAAAACCAGAAGAAAAAAATAACAACCAATTTTATCAAAACAGCAAACAAAAAAAAAACACTGGCCTAAGAATTCGGTGAGATGGAGAAGCCGGCCGCTGACGGAGGTTCAAATAGCCATTTCCGCCGTTACTGGAATTCCCATTGTTGTTATTAAGATCAGTAGGCAGAGATAAATCCTTATTATGGTTCTTACGAGCCGCCGATCAACCCCGACCACAGCTCTCAGACCACCCGGCTGCAACCCGGAGGAGTCGCGGTTATTGCCTTTGTCCCGGACTTTGGCCTGGAATTTCATACAACGCAGCCTTTTGCGGCTCCCCCACTGTAAAATGAAGTCAGACGACGTCGTAGCAGGGGACCTGGTCTCATTGCTACTATTATAGTGGTGGTTAGGATTCGAATTCCTCTCCATCCTTATCTCCACCTTTTCTGGCCTTTTTTTTTTACTTACACCTGTCGGACAAATCACCACTGTAATTAAATTTCTTTATTGCAGCATTTAACTGGAGTTTAACAAATAAAAGTCACAAAATTAAGACCAAATCAGAGTTGGTGATCAATTATTGACCATTCAGGATTTGTTTGCTAAAATTTGGAAATTCTGGGTTTCTAAAGTGGTACTAACACTGGATTTGGAAGACGAGTTGGTTTCCAGGAGAAGATCTTATCAATTCATATGAGATGGAAATTACATTTTTCAAGAATAAAAAATGGAGGAAATGGACAAGTTTAGCCATTTATATTCAAAACAGACACCATTGAAGGGAGGAAGAAAGAAGGGGAAAGGATAAAAAGCGTCATCCTCTTGAGCCCAAAATTGCGTATACAGTCAAGGGAGCAATTAGAAAATAAAATGCTTCTCTTGAAAAAACAGAAACTGAAAATTTTCTGGGAGAAACAGCGTATGAAGAAGATTTTTTACCTTTCATAACAGGGTTCGTTCAATGGAACAAATCTCTGAGTAATTCAATTGGATTGTAAAGATAAAAGGCAGGGAAAATCCCAAAAAACAAAGGTTTCCATCTGAAAAACTATAGAAAAAGAGCAAAAGTTGAACAAGAAAACATTCTGATCACCAATTCCAATGATCTGACAGGCTTTTGCTTGCTGAAATTTAGACCAGCAAACAGGGGCGGAGGGAAGGGGGGGCCAGGCTCCAATTGTTAAAAAAAAAAAATTTAAGTAAAAAAATTTTTATTATATTGTCTTGCCTCCAAATATTGATAAAAAATTTCACTTTGCCCTCCCTCCGATTGTTATAAAAAAATTTCTAAGTAAAAAAAATTTTTCTTATATTATTTTGCCCCTCCAAAATATTGATAAAAAATTTTGCTTTGTCCCCTCCTAAGGACCCAAATAATATGTTTGAGAGTTATTTGGACAAATAACAGAGACTCCCCCCTAATTGCAATTCCTAACTCCGCCACTGCCAGCAAATGTTCTGAAACTCTTGCTTGGGAATCCAAATAATCACATTAGCTCAAAATTATGCTGAAATTCTGTAATCAAAGAAGTTGCTCATGAAAATCTTGGCAATCACTTTGGAATCTCTATCAGAAAGACCTTAGTTTTGATACATCACACGAGTCGGCCTCAAAATCTGTAAAAACAAAACCCCATAAAAAATTTCACCAGTTTATTGAAAATCAAACATCAGCAGTAGATGAATTCTCTGATTTTGGAAAATGAAAGGAAAAAAATTTAGTACCTGAATTTGTATTTATACACTTGGATTTCATTTTGAAAACTCATATCAACAACCGAGAACCAACAATGGTTCTGATCGTCTTTAGTCCTCAGAATTAGGAACTGTTTCAAGTAAATCAGAGCTTTAATCCTCCGTCTGAATTCCAAATCCGATCTTCACCAACCCAGAAACTGATCTTCCGACTTAAAAATTCCTGCAATCTCCCCCGTCGAACAAAATTCATCAAAAAAAGACAAGCTTAAATTGCCAAAGATTCATACAAGAAAATCCACGAAAATCAAATTTCCAATACCATCACTAACCTCCAAAGCTTCAGGATCAGACAGAAAAATGAGATTTCTAAGGAAACTCAAATCCCAGTCCACAGAATTCTTCTGAAAACAACTCCAATTCCTCTTTGAATAATGTATCTGTTTAACAAAAAACAGGCAACATAAGATCAATTTTCTCAACTACTACAGATAAGCTGGGCCTTTCACCACAATTTCTCAGTACAATTGTAACAGAGCAGCAGGCAGGCAGATCTCTATCCTTCTTAGTTCAAGAAAATCCATCCAACATTTTCACCTACCCAGATGTTTCCAGCGAAATCAAGACGCTCCGCTGCTTCTATTTCTCTTTCTAGATTCTTAAAAGAATATGGCAGAAAGGAAAAAGAGAAAATTCAGAGAAAGAGAGAGGAGAGTGCTGTTTCCTTCTTCTTCTTCTTCTCAACATAAGTAGATAACGTCCCAAGTGAATTCAGCCAAAAGTTTCGTCGTCCCCTCACGTGCCCGGCATGTGGATTGGAAGCATCATGTTGTTCGCGCATCGCGCGTTAGTTCCCCATCTGGCTTCACCTGTCAGTGTCCCATGTGCCCGTACTTCTTTTTTTCTGTTCTTCTACTGCATTTGCTCTCTTTCCGCTACCTTTTCTCTCTCCATTTTTTTTTGGGCAATGTTGCTCTGTCGCTTACCCAGATACAGCCTCCACTTCCATCTTGTCTATTTACTTTAGGGTTTACATACACAGAGCAGCAAATACCTCTCCGCCGCTTTCCTCACCAAAAAATTATACTACCAAAATCTTCAGTAGCGGTGAGCTTCCTTTCTCTTAGCTTCTTTTTTTTGTTTGGTCAATTTGCAGCTTCCTTATTTTTATCAGTTTGCAGCTTTCTCTATCTTTTTTTTTTGGGCAATGTTGCTCTGTCGCTTAGCCAGATGCTCTAAACCCTGGTACAAAAGCTTGTTGAGGTATCTGGTGATGCATTGTCTTCTTACAACGCAAGAAGTATTGAGCCTTTGTCTCTCGCGCGCTCTGGTTGCAACGGTCCAAATCATGTGCCGTCCGTTTGGTTCTCCTCCCCCTTCAGTGTAAGTTTTTTTTCCCCTTTTGTAATGCAGCTCCTGTTTTCCTCTTTTCTTCTGAGTTGAGTCTGTTTTGTTGTCCAGAAAGGTGCAATCTTGGTCTTTTCCTCTGTACGTTTTAGGCTAGAGTTGATATGTTTCGTCCTTTATTTCGCTTGGCCAAGCTAGGACCTTTCTTGCCTTCTCTAGATCTTCTGTTTTGCTCTCCGGAGAGGTGCAATCTTGCTCTTTTCCTCTGTATGTTTTCTGAGTTGTCATGTTTCTTTAGATTTCTTTTCTTTCTACTTCTACCGTATGTTGTTCTCCGATCTCTTCCCCTTCTTCTTGCCTCTAGGGTGTTTCTTAAATTTCCGCCACCGCCCCTCTCTCTCTTCCCTTTTTCCTTTGCCTGTCTCTCTTCCTTTCCCTCGTTCCTTCATCAGTCCACTACTGCTGCTATTGGTTAAGACGGAACAACTTGCTCTGGTAATTCCATAATTTTTCTTTCCTTTTTTTTGAACTATTTTATCTTAGATGCTTTGAATGAATTCCAATTCTCCTCTGGACCAGAAAGATTGAAGAGGTTTGTCTTTGTTTTCTTTTTATTATCCAGCCATATTTCTTTCTTTTCTTCCATTCTTCTCATTTAGTTTTTTTTCACAGGGAGCTGCCTTTTTTTTTCCTTTTTTTAATCATTCTTTGGAATACTTGGTAGCATATTATTTACGGAATCTTCTTCATCTGTTATGATGTTAAAGTTTTCTTCATCTGTCCTCCTATTAGTAAATAAAGCATATTTTCTTCATCAATTTGATCCTATGTTGTTTTAAATCCTATAAGCAGATATAATGATCTCACTTTGTTTTGTGTTTCATTTTGAAGGGAATCGAAATGCTTTCACTTGGCTCATTCAAGACTGAAGCTATTCTTTTGGTAAGTGAAGGAAGCTTAGTAACTTAAATAAACTTAGTTGTATAAATGCAATAAGATTAATTGAAAGGTGACGACTAAGACTGTGTATGACAAAAAATTTATTATTGTGTATCAATGTTTTGTCAGTCAATATGCTTTGATAGATACAAATGGACACACATGTATTTATGCATTTTTTTCAGTATTCCCGCTCTAATTGATGCATCTTCTAGATTGCACTATCCTACCATTTGTTTACTATGATGTAATATATATGTTTTAAATTTGCAGGCTGGACTTTTTGTATATGACATTTTCTGGGTCTTTTTTACCCAAGTAATGATTAGTGTTGTTAAATCTTTTGATGCTCCTATCGAGATACGTGTGTCATATTGCGTTCTGTATATCTTTAACAGAAATTCTTGTACTTGGATTCTGTCTATCATAGTTTGCAACTAAGTGTAATAATATATACATTCTACAGTTTTTGTTCCCAACGGCTGACTCTGCAGGTCTGTTTTCAATGCTAGCTCTTGGGGATACAGTAATTCTTGGTATGGCTTTTATTCTAATTGTTCTAATAGTTGTTGTCAGTTTGTCATCCTCATTTTGGCTGCTATGTTGAGAGTCCATGGCTAAGTTTTTGAATTTGATGTTCAATTGTTTTTCTTCCTCGGCTGCTTATAAGGGAACACATGTATCCGGTGATGAGATTTATCATTTTTAATCCAACCCTCTCCACAGCATTGCATTTTTTACTATTTGGAATAATTGTGTAGCTTTTCGTTTTCATCTCTAAGCTTCTTATTTGGTTGGTGATCCCTTGTGATGTGTGCATGGTTCTAAATTGTATGAAGAAATACTCGGAAGCATGCTAAGTAAAATCTGCATCTGTAATTTATATATCTCAGGGATTTTTGTGGCATTGGCATTGCACTTTAAAGTTTCTTAGGGGGAGCAGAACCAATATTTCAAGAGTGCTTTTGTAGGATACTCTGTTGGTTTGATCCTGACAATAATTATCATGAACTAGTTTCAAGGTGCACAGGTAGGTGTTTTATGCATGTCCTTACCTTTGAAAGTAGATAGATACATTTGAGAAGTGTAAATTTGTTCCAGTGAGGGTCCATACTTCTCATTTTGTTGATCCTTTTTAATGGTTATTTATTTAGGCTGCACCCTTGTATATTGTACCGGCTGTCATTGAATTTTTGGCTGTGCACGTCTTTTGGAAAGGAGAAGTGAAACCAGTAAGTCTTTTGTGATCATGAATTTATTTTATAACTGTTGTTAAATGCTGAACTTCTTTCTTTCCTGGTGTATTATAGTGAAATGACTTTATGCATGTCTTTGGGAGATACTTTTAAATGGCCGGAGAGCTGCCTGGCTCATGGCCACTTAATTTTAAACTTTTGCAACTAAGACAATGAAAATAAAACTAGAGATAGCAACTAGCAATACAAAATCAACGAAGGTATTATTGTTTAATTTTTTGGATTCTGAATTTTTTTCATAAGTTCTTTTCTGAAGGTTCGAGTTTTGCTTGCATATTTCTTATGTATGATTGAATGACATTCTGTAGATGGAAAGGGCTACCAATAGAATGTTTACTTTTTGGACTGAAATTTTTTATGAATTCTTCCCTGAAGGTGCGAGTTTGCTTGGCATGTGCATGAGTAAACCACATACTATAGATGGACTGGGTTACCGATTGAACCTTTTAATTATGACAACCTTAAACAAGAAGAAAATTATATTTAGAAGTTTTTAAGTTCCATAATCTGTCATGCTACATTTTAGTTCAATCACAGTACTGGTTCTGAGTACCTTGATCTTGTACATAAGTTTAATTTTATTGCTTACATGATAAATTGTCATAAAAGTGAAGTATGGAGTAGCCCAACAGTATGCAAATTTTAGTTCGATCATCAAGCACTGGTTCTAAATACCTTCAGCTTTAATTTTGCACTTTTATTCTAGAACTAAAAGTAGTTTTTTTTTTAATTTTGCACTTTAATCCTTCTGCTTTGGTTGCTTTTATTCTGTAATTAGTGCGTTTTGGTAAGCTTGACGAACCGATCCTTCTGCCTAATCTTGATATTTACCCTTTTACCTGTTTTCCAACATTTGGTTGATGGCAATGCCTCTATAATTGAGTCATTGGTTTCCTTTTTTTGTCCTTTTTTTTATAGAGTAGTCATTTTGTCTCTGAACTGATATTGTGACAAACTAACTCGTCTTTTGGTTGACTGATTTGTAATAGATATGATAGGAGTTGTTTTATATATTTTACCAGTGAGAAAGGCACTTTTAGATGGTGTTTCTGTTGTTGCTAGAGATTACGTTGTTAATCAAAGGTGATTCCCGGTGCTTGGATCTTTCCGTGTTGCTTTTGTTGGCTCCTATATTTTTTGAGATTGCTGACTCCTTGTTGTTTATGTTTGTTGCTATAGTAAGAAGCCTGTGCTTCTGACATTGTTCCGTGATTTTTGAGACTGAAGTGGGATGGACCAATGTAGATGCTATGGGGTCTATTGAGTCCAATCCAGTTATTATTGGTATTAGACTCAGAGTGAATCCCTGATAATTGTGAGATCTGTTTCTTTGTATATTCAGGGTTCCTTAGTTAATTTGTGTTAGGCTATTGTGTTAGTGGTCACTATGCTATCATTTTTTTCTTGGTACTTTTCCCTTCTGGGCTTTAAATCACGGATTGTTTGCTAAGTCATGGCAAGCTAGAATGTTATATTGATCTTTTGAAAGGTGACATTTTTTTTAGGCACTCTGATGGAAGGTGAACCTTATTCCTTTTTTCAACTGATATCTTTGAATGTTTTTCCCTCGTCCCAGGAAAAATGTTTTTTTTTTTGGGTAGGAGGTGCCAACATGTTCTTGCTTAATATTGCATTAAGTGGTGCGATCCACGTTTGAATTTGCGTATGCCAAATTGTGAATTCAATGGTTTGTTGATAAGCACTAATTCATTGATCTCCAAGGAAAAAACGTCAAGGATATGGATAGAATTTGAAACTTTTATTCAGACAATGCTTAAGAATGCGCAGTCTAAAAATATAGACATGGCCTAGGATTGCTTCGAGGCCCGTGAGCTTCCCCACTATGTTTTTGTTTTCTTTCTTTATTTGCTAATCAATTTAATAAAGCCAATTTCACCAATTAAACAATTTAAGACAAGGTTCAACTAGCTACCCTAACAATCAAAAGAATAATTTTCTCTAAGAAAAAATAGAAATGACCTTAAAATTAGCTAAGGAGCAAAGGCTGCATGTTACATGTCTTCCAAAAGACATCCGATAAAATTTATTGTCCAAAAAGCATAAAGAAATCAGTAATCATTCATCCAATCACTCCAAAAATTTGGTATTCTCCAACTTCTAGCAACTTCACAGTCATGCTAAAATTTGTATCACTCCAACACCTTTATTGTAAAGACCAATATAGAAGGACATTTAAAA